CTTTTTTGAGAGTTTTTATCATAAATGGTTGAATTTTATCAAATAGTCTTTTGGCAGCTGTTGAGATAATCAAATGGTGTCTACGCTTTTGTTACTGTTGGTGGGCATACCCCATGGTTTACAGATGCTGCGACCATCTCTGCATGTCTGCAGTAAATCCCACAGGGTCGTGATATAAGATCCTTTTAAGGTATTGTTGAATTTGGTTTGCTAATATTTTGCTGGAGATGTCTGCATCAGTGTTCGCCTGGGAAACCAGTCTGTACTTTTCTCTTTTTGTGGTCTCTGGTTTTGGTATCAGCATAATGCTGGCCTCAGAGTGAGTTTGGAAGCATTTCTTCTTTTCAGTTTTCTCTATGAGTTCGAGAATAAGTACTACAATAATAAGTATTAATTCTACTTCAAATATTTGGTAGAATTCACTTGGGTAGCCATCTCTCCCTAGACTTTTGTTGGAATCGGTAATCCAAAAACTCCCAACAATTGAGTTACTAATAATGTGTCCATTTAGGCGTTTTAATTCTTCTTCATTCAGTCTTAGAAGATATTCCTAGGAACTTACCATTTCTTTTCTTTTCTTTTTTTTTTTAAGATTTTATTTATTTGTCGGAGAGCGAGAACACAGGCAGGCAGAGTGGCAGGCAGAGGAAGAAGCAGGCTCCCTGCCAAGCAAGGAGCCCGATGTGGGACTCAATCCCAGGACTCTGGGATCATGACCGGAGCCAAAGGCAGATGCTTAACCAACTGAGCCACCCAGGCATCCCTCACTGATTAACTGTTTGCTTTTTTTTTGTCCTTTTTTCATTTATTTCCATTCTGATCATTATTATTTTCTTCCTCTTACTTACTTTGGACCTCATTTGTTTTGTTGTTGTTGTTAGTTCTTTTGTGTGTAAAGTTAGATTGTTCATTTGAGATTTTTCTTATTTCTTGAGGTAGGCCTACTTTGCTATAAACTTTTTAGATCTGCTTTTCCTGTGACCATAGATTTTTGGATTGTTCTTTTCCATTGTCATGTGTCTCAAGCTATTTTTTTTTTTTAAGATTTTATTTATTTATTTGACAGACAGAGATCACAAGTAGGCAGAGAGGCAGGCACAGAGAGAGGAGGAAGCAGGCTCCCCGCTGAGCGGAGAGCCCGATGGGGGGCTCAATCCCAGGACCCTGGGATCATGACCTGAGCCAAAGGCAGAGGCTTTAACCCACTGAGCCACCCAGGCGTCCCTCAAGCTATTTTTTATTTCCTCTTGGATTTCTTTGTTGACCCATTGGTTGTTGAGTAGTATATTTTCAGCCTCCATAGGTTTGTGGGTTTTTTCCGATTTTCATCTTATAATTGATTTCTACTGTCATACCACTATGAAAAGATCCTTGTTTTGATTTAATCTTTTCAGATTTATTGAGACTTGTTTTGTAGCCTAACAGATGATCTATCCTGGAGGATATTCCACGTGAAATTGAAAATAATGTGTATTCTTCTGGTTTGGGATAAGTTCTGTATGTATCTATTAAATCCATCCAGTTTCGTGTGTTATTTAAGGCCAATGTTTCCTTATTATTTTTCTGTCTGGGTAACCTATTCATTGATGTGACTGAGGTGTTAAACTCCCTTACTATTACTGGTTTACTGTCAGCTTCTCCCTTTATGTCTTTTAATAATTGCTTTCTAAGTCTTTAGGTGCTCCTCTGTTGGTTGCACAGATCCTTATAAGTGTTCTATCTGCTTGTTGGACTGATCCCTTTATCATTATGTGATCTCCTCCTCTGTCTCTTGTTACACCCTTTCTTTGTGTCTGATAAAAGAATTGCTTCCATGGCTTTTTTTTAATGTTTGCACGGAATTTTTTCCCCCGTCCCTTCCCTTTCAGTCTGTATGTGTCTTTATATCCGAAGTGAGTCTCTTGTAGGCAGCATACAGATGGATCTTCTTAGAAATCCGTTCGGCTACCATATGTCTTCTGATTGGAGCATTTAGTCCACTTAAGGTAGTTATTGCTAGATCTGAATTTATTGCCACTTTTTTCATTGTTTCTAGTTGTTTTGGCAGTTCTGTTCTTCTCTTCCTCTTTCCCTTGTGATTTGGTGACTTCATGTTATGTCTGATTTCCTGCCTCTGTTTGTTGTGCATCCCTATATAAGCACTCTCTGTTAGGTTGATGGTCATTTAAGTTGAAAAGCACTACCTTTTTATTCCCCTTTTACATTTTACGTTTCTGACAAACTATTTAGATCTTACTATTTTGTGTATCCCTTGACTAAGTACCATAGATCTAGATGAGTTTACTGTTCTTGCCTTTTAACCTTTATACCAGCTAAGTAGGTGGCTGTTCCACCACCTTTACCCTAAGTTTACCTTTACCAGTCAGAGGTGGTTTTTTTCCCGCCCATAATTTCCTAATTTCTAGTTATGGCTTTTTCTTTTTTATTTAAGAAAGTCCCTTTAACGTTTTTTGTAAGGCCAGTTTGGTGCTGATGAATGTCTTTAGTTTTTTTCTGGAAAACTCCTTATTTCCCTTTCAATTTGGAATGATAATCTTGCCCAAAAGAAAAGAGTACTCTTGGTTGTGTTTTCAGTACCACTCCCTTCCAGGCTGTAAAGCTGCTGCTGAAAAATCTGCTAATAGACTTATAGGGGTTCCTGTTTATGGAACAAATTTTCTCTTGCTGCTTTAAAGATCCTCTAAAATGTGTAGGGCTCTCTTTGGGGCCACCTTATTTGGGATTCTCTGTTTCCTGGGCTTGTAGGTTTCTTTCACCAGGTTAGGGAAGCTTTCAGCCATTATTTCCTCAAATAGGTTTTTTGTCTCTTTTCTAAGACACGCCCCCCTACAATGCAAATGTTAGTATGCTTGGTGTTGTCCCAGAGGATAGTCTTCAACTTTGCTCAGGTTTTTTAAGTTTTTTTTCTGTGCTGTTTCGATTGGTTGATTTCCCCTAACCTTTCTTCCAGGATCACTGATCCCTTCTTATGCATCGTCTCCTCTGCTGTTGAATCCTTCTAGTATATTTTTCACTTCAGTTACTGTATTCTTCAGCTATGGTTCTTTTTTTTATATTTTCTATCTCTTTGTTGAATTCTCATTATGTTTATCCATTTATCTCCTGAGTTCAGTTAGCATTTTCATAAACATTACTTAGAATTCCTTATCTGGTAGGTTACTTATCTCTGTTTCATTTAGGTTTTTTTCCCCCTGAGTTTCTGCCTTGTTCTTTCATTTGCAACATCCTTCTGTCTCCTCATTTTGCCTGTTTCTCTGTGGTAGTAGATCAGTTACAGCTATTAGTCTTGAAGGAGTGGCTTTATGCAAAAGGTGTCCTGTGAGTTCCAGTAGCCTAAAATGCCCTGGTCACCTGACCCAGGTGCCCAAGGAGTCACACCTGGGTGGGCTGTGTATCACCCCTCTGTTGCAGTGGGTCCTGATTCATGTGGACTCACTGCTGTTGGGGGGGGGGGGGGTGGGGGGGGCGGCTGGCTGCAGGAGCTGGCTGCAGTGCCCGGCTGCAACAGTGTGGCCAGCTGGTGGGCAGGACAGGCCTTCTGCATAGCCGGCTGCAGCTGCTGCAGTTGTTTGCAGTTGCTGGGCTGGCACCCCAGGGTAGAGCACTTGGCAGGGGCTGTGATGTCTGCAGAAGAGGTGGGGTGGTAAGCCCCTTGGAAGGGGCTCCAGGTGGGCTGGATGGGGTGAGTTCACAGGGAAACACTGGGGCCAGGTATGGTGCTAGCACAATAGAGAGAAAGTGTTAGAAATAGTGCCCATCGGTGCTAGTCCAGCTAGGTAGAAGCAGTGAATACAAAATGGTGCCCACTGAGGCCACTGTCCCCGGGGAGTGCTCCAAGTGATCCCTGCCCCTCTGGCACACACCCCAACATCAGTGAATATACTTCCTTCACGTGTAAGCCAGGTGTTTTTCAGACTGCTGCCTGTGCCCTGGGCCTCCACACAAGTGAGAACGTGTGCACACCTTTTAAGAGTGTGGTCCCTATTTCCTGGTGCCCTCTGGCTCCCCTGCCTATAAGCCCCATTGCTCTGTAAAGCTTTTCATTATTGGTGCCATTCACCTGGGCAGTGGAACCTGATGTGGGGCTCAGACCCCTCCTTCAGGGAGGGCCTCTGTGATTGTGCTAGCCCTCCCATCTGTGGGCCTCCCCAGCAGGCATGTGGGACCTGACCAAACTGTGTCTCTGCCCTTCCTGCACATCTCAGTTGGGCTAACAACCTTAGTTGCTTATGAACTTTCCTGCTCATCTTTGGTTCCTTCTGAGAGAGTTGTTCTGCTTGTAGCTGCAGATATTTGTGTGTCCATGGGAGGAAGTGAGCCCAGGAGCCCCCTCCTCCTCTACCTCTCAAATCTCTTAATTATAGGCAGTTTCTATTCTATTGTGATACTAATGATAGAAGAGAGAAAAAACATTATTTTTAATGTTTAACTTCCCTCAAGACTATCTACTTGGTGTTCCACACAAGGTTTAAAAACTGCTGAGTTTGGGGGCACCTGGGTGGCTCAGTGGGTTAAGCCTCTGCCTTTGGCTCAGGTCATGATCTCAGGGTCCTGGGATTGAGTCCTGCATCGGGCTCTCTACTCAGTGGGGAGCCTGCTTCCCCCCACCCCCTGCCTGCCTCTCTGCCTACTTGTGATCTCTCTCGAAAAACAGAAACAAAAACAAAAAAAACTGCTGAGCTTGAATGGATATTACCCCGCAGGTTCCTGCCAGGCAACATGGTTACCAAGGTAAGGAACAAGGATTCTGGAATAAGGCAGTGCTGAATTCAGATCCAGGTTGTGCTCATGTGACTTGGGCAAACAAATGGCTTAAATGTCATCAGTAAAATGGACTAGTAGGAACGATTATTTGAGGTAATATACTTATCAAGGTACCTAGCATTGTGGAGCTTGGCATATAGAATTAAAATATCTGTCATCTGGCTTAAAATGTGAGTATTACCATGATGGGAGTATTTTGTTTCACCTCCTAAAAACCATTTGTCTTATCTGCTGGCCTTCATCTGCTGGCCTGTATTGCAGATGTCTACTTAAGTAACTTTTAAGTGGTTTTAAAGACTTCTTACTCTTTCTTTGGTCCTCTTCAAGGACAAGTTGCCCATTCTTTTCACTGTTTATTCAGTCTTTAGAATTCTTCCTTTAAATTGTTCCAATGGATATTTAGAAGCCAGGATGTGAAGTAAGAACATCATCACCAAAACCTGAGGGAAATGTATATAGCAAAAACAAAAACACCATACAACAAAACAAAACAAAACTCTCATCTGGTAGATTGGCATGATAAAGAAACCAAGAAATTTTCACACTAATATAAAAATCTGAGAAATGTAGAATCAATCCTTGCATTTGGACTGAAGTAAGAGAGGAAACATGTGGCCATAGATCAAGTTGGGGTTGGTTCTAAGGGTTTCATTCCTTCCTTCATACTAATATAAATATGAATAAGGACACAGCTGCTCTGAAGTTTTGATTTTACAAATGTCTTTGTAGAGATTTGGGAATTGTGCTAATTGTGCAGAATGAGAAAAGCATTAAGTGTGTAGTCATTTGAAAATTTAGTCCAACTGTACAGACTACTGGACAGTTTTAAGGCAATAATTTGTATCTGTTTGACCTGTTTGGGGCAACCATTACTTGGGCAAAAATCTTGATTTGCAGATCCTGGTTCGAAAGGAACTTGCTGCCTTTTATTGTGTATGACTGAGAAGTCAGACCTCAGCCTGCATCTACCTCAGCTTCTTAGTTTTGCCACTTTATCTTTGTGAGAGAGGTGGAGTATCTGTTAAGAACACTGTTTGTGTTGGCAGAAAGACCTAGGTGTAAATCCTGGCTTTGCTAGTTACTATATCACCTTAGGCAATCCACCTTCTCTAAATGTCGAAAACAGAACTCACCTCATATGTTTGTGGAACACATTAAAGGAGATATGTATCTTAAGAAAGAGCTTCCGTGAGAGCTCCTAGTAGTAGTGAAGTGATACCTATTATTCTGGCTATAATCTTAAACATACACCATGTTAGCTGCCTTCATTCTTTTGCAGAACAGATAAAGATGTATAAACAAACAAAATACAGTAACATCTACTGGATACTGTACAAGATGCTGATAATTAAACAGGCCAAACCCATGGCCCTTACCTAAAAGGAATTACTGATAGAAATCTCCATCTGCAGGCATCCTAGGGTCCGCTAAGTACAGTGCTGCATGCCAGTGTTTAAGGGAGTCTAGAGGTTGTTATGGAACTGAAAAGCCATGGTGGACACTCCAGGCTGGGGCTACAGTTCTTAGCACGATACTCCCAGGAAACATGTAGCACATAGTAGTCACTTCATAAATACTTACAGAATCCAGGATCCCTAAGTGATAAACCAAATGGTTTGTGTAGAGGGGTGGGAAGACCTGTAGTTGGAGAAAGAAACAGGAGCCAGAATGTGGACCCTTTTGAGCTTCAACTATATATACTGGAAGAGTCCCGGAGAACTTATTAAAAGACCCATCATGGACAAATGCAGTTTTAGCAATGCGAGGAAGGAATGGAAGGAGGAGCAGTGAGAGTCAGGAGGACTTCTTGGTATAAACCATCATCATGGTTAAAGCAGTAGAGGGAAGGCATGCACATGGTTGCAGTCACAGTGGACAAGAAGTGGACCATGCCACAGGGAGCAATAAAAAAAGACTGGGGGTTGAAATTGGCAAAATTTCTGCATTTAAGCCCGAGTTACTAAGCATAATGAAACGAATTCAAGTCCTTCTAAGTATGGAATAAGATACTTAGAAATCAGTTCCTTTTGTAGTTGGGGTAGAGATGAGTGGTGGTTGGTTTTCTTAGCATCTTTATTTAGGTGGTTTTTGTTTTCATTTTTTTTATTGTGTTATGTTAGCCACCATACAGTACATCATTAGTTTTTGATGTAGTGTTCCATGATTCATTGTTTGTGTATAACACCAGTGCTCCATGCAATCCATGCTCTCCTGAATACCCGTCACTGGGCTCACCCATCCCCCTGCCATCCTCTCTGCTCTGAAACCCTCCATTTGTTTCCCAGAGTCCACAGTCTCCCATGGTTCGTCTCCCACTCCGATTTCTCACAGTAGTTATATTACAAAACTACAATAAATGTTCAAAATTCCAGAATTCAAACATAGTTCACGTCAAACTAATGTAAAATGAAGCCAAACACAAACCATCATTTTAACACAATTCTAAATTAAACTATAAACCCGAAATACACCACAGCTGATAAAGTCTGCTTTATCTTGCAAAGTGGACATATATGAGTAAAACCCAAGATGACTCCCCCAGGTGCTGGGACCATCCTAAACTCAAGCTGTAATTGATTGCAGATAATTATAACAACATTGGCCTTCAGCTATGGACCCGATAATGAAGATACCTACTGAATAGCATGTAGCTTAACCAACTTGATTGGCACCTGACTCCCTAAAAATAAAATCCAGTCAAACTACATATCATGTAGTTTGCCAAATCATGCAGAGATGGTGAAAAACACCAAAGGTGTAGAGATGTGAGGTCGGAAACACAGCTCCATGGCCATCAGTTTCAACCTTCGATACATACATAGGGTGACAGACATTAGGAGAAAGTAGTCAGCATCCCATTGTGTCACACCTGTTCTTGAATTCTTTGAAGAGCTCACATTCCTCATTACATAGGTACCAGGCCATCATTATCCCCATGTAAGCGAGGAACACACGTCCTCGCTCCACAGCATTGTTACTGCTTAAAATTCATGTCCGCTGATGCAGGGAACAGAGCCGAGAACATGCAGCCTATGGTTTCAAGTTACCTAACACAGTGACCAGACTGAGAACTGATCTTTCCAAAGAGAAAGAAATACATTTCTTCTGTGAAACATGTTAGATCAGACTTTAAGAAAGAAACGTAGATAAGGTGACCATATTCTCTCTTCATATAAATAAATCTACAGGACCAAAGATGCTTTTGCAGACCCAAATGTATTCTTCCCTACCTATACCCCCACCCCCACCTTGGGAAATATGGGCAAGCTCTTAGAGTTTACTGCTGGAAGACGTTCATTTTATAGTGAGCAACTAAGCCCAGAGATGTTAAGTAACAGACCATTAGTGTCTCAAAGGTGTGAAAAAGACATCACCTTCTTCATGCATCCTTTACCAAAAACTATCCTGGCTTACTACAGCATAGTGTTTGGTGCTCTAACCTTCTCCCCAAGATGAGTGCGCATAAATGATGCACAGTTTGGGGGAACGGTCTTAATACACACCAGAACTTAAAACCAGTAGAACCTTCTCTCAGTAAATGCAAAGCTAAGAGAATCATCAGTGTTTCTTGTCGCTAAACAACAAAATGTGTGCTGGCTAAAACCGTTTAACAGAAATACCACGAAAGCCTTCCAGCAGACTGTTTTTCTGTTTGATTTGAAAACTAGTCCATAGCTTATCATCAAACGGACCAGTAATCCCTTAGCTGATGCAGGGATGAATGGGCAGTGAGAAAATGGAATCACCTGGTGTGTGCCGCAGAGTATTTACAGTCTTCCTAATGAAAAAAGATAAGGAAAATGCAAGGAACTTTGGTGTAAAAACCACCTTTTAGGGCTAGCGCTAGAGAGACAAATAAACTAATCACTAGACCTGTGTAGTCCCCGATGTCAGCTCTGTTTTCAATCTCTTTGTGGACTGACCTTGAATCAGAATATTTAAGGCTGCCTCAGCAGGGCACTTGCTCTACTTAACGATAGTTAAGAGGTTTTAAAATATGTTTCTGGTCCTTGCTGAAATTTTTTTCCCTCTGTGTTGCTGAAAGCTTTATGGCAAAGGGTTCTTAACCTCAGCATTACTGACATTGGAAGCTGGGTGATTCTTCGTTGCGGAGGGTTGCCCTGTGCGCTGTGGGTTGCTGAGCAGCACTCTGATCTTTTCTCACTACACGTCAGTTGCAGTTCCCCAGTTCTGACGATCAGAGATGTCTCCACCCATTTCCAGGTGTCCCCCACCCCTTCCTCGGGGAGCAAAACTGCTCCCAAATGAGAACCACTGGTTTATAGTACTTGGACAAAAACTAGTAAGCCTGTGAGAGCATGACACCTGTTCCATGTGTAGTAGATAAAAATTAATCCAGTTGTAGTAGCTTTATTTTCAGGATTTCCCCCCATGGTAATTAACACTGGTTTTCTGATGTCATATTGTTTTTGCTCCCCCCCCCAGTGAAAAATGCTGATTTAATTCCTTTAACTTGAAGGCTAAACCAACACCACCACTTGGGTTTATAATGTTTATCATCCCTGTTCCTCTGTCTTTGGAGAGAAAGCCTCCAACTTAGTAAGCAAGCCTGCATCATTCTGCCGGGTACATGATAGTCCCCATTTAGAAACAGGGCAGTTGAGATTGAGAGAGATTAAAAAGTCACCAAGATACTACATTGCATTTAGGTTGTGAATTCTAGCCTGCCTTAGAGTCCCCACTATTCTCTGTAACAACAGTTCTCCCTGTGTAGTCCATGGACGCCTGGGATTCCCCAGGTCTTTTCAGAAATACATTCAAGATAATACCCAGTCTGTTTGCCTTTTCCACTGTGTTGACATTTGCATTGGCCGTACAGAAGTAATGATGAGTAACACCAATGGCATCCTAGGGTACAGTAGTCATTGTATGCACTCACAGTTCAAGAATATCCTGGAGGAAGCAAAATATTACTGATTCTCTTAAATCTCCACATTTGACAATGTCCTTTTACTGTCCATCTGTGTGACAGAATGGAAGACGCGTAAGGCGTGTTACGCATTTAGGCTGCACATGGCATTAGGCTTGTGTCAAAGAGGAGTGGGTGTAAGATCATTTGTGTGGTGTGGTGAACAGCCACCTTTTTCATGACATACTACGAGTAAACTACGGTGTTTAGCCTTGGATGCTTGGCAGAGGTTTTCTCAAAAAATGATTGAAGTGAGGTTATCACTTGATGGAAGACAACTGACAGTATTTGTTGCCGGTCTATAAAAATTTGAGCTTTCAAACAGAATTTAGAACTTCTTAAGACTTCTATCTGCCACTGTGAGCTTGACAGATGTGACTCTTACATTGTTTAATGAACTGTGTCAACATTTGGAAAATCTGCCTAACTCAGTGAAACAATATTTTCCAACTGACTAATGCATGACAGTACGAAATCATGCATGGGTAAAAGATCCATTCAACGTGCAAGACAGACCAGTGGCTGTTAATGTAACAGCGTTACACAAAGTTCACGGATAGGGTTTCGCAGTGCACACTGCAGTACTAACCTTTCAAAAACCAAAATGTCGTGTTTGGGGCTAGAGTCACAAGGAGTATCTACAACTACCTGAACTTCATAAGCTTCTGAAGGACCATTAACCCTCCCCTGGTACACAGGGAAGGATGTTGATCGTGCTTTTTACCGGAAGCCCTCCAGGTAGTCCCATGTCACAGGAGGCAGATAAAAATTCCCCAAGTTTCACATGGGGGGTTAATGTGGTAGGAGAAGAGTAAATGAAACAAGTTGGGATTGAGAGGGAGACAAGCCATAAGTGACTCTTAATCTCACAAAACAAACTGAGGGTTGATGGGGGGAGGGGGTTGGGAGGAGGGGGTGGTGTTATGGACATTGAGGAGGGTATGTGCTATGGTGAGTGCTGTGAAATGTGTAAACCTGGCGATTCACAGACCTGTACCCCTGGTGATAAAAATATAGGTTTAAAAAAAATAAAATTTATTAAAAAAATAAAAATTCCCCAAGTTTCAGGGTTCATTATTTCAGTGATGTATTTCACCCACAGTACCACTTACATATGTGATAGGGCCTTTGTATTGTCACAGTGCCTGTTATTCAGGGATCGTGACCCTGGGCTAGATGAAAGGATGTGACTTACCCACACATTTTACGTGCTCCTTAAGGTGTGATTACTTCTCACAATCCGTCCATGAGCCTCCTCTCATCACTTGTTTTTCTGGCAGGAGAACTCAAGAGAAAAACCCAGCTTTGCGTGTGTTGTGTGTGTGGTTTTTTCTTCCTCTCTCAACTCTAATGTAAACCCCATGGCCTGAGAACTAAGCTGAGCACACGCTCCACTGTAAATGGGCAACAGCATTTGAGTATCCACCTAGAACAAGGCATTTTGTTCCTAGGAGTTTTCACTTAAAAGAAAGCACTGTGGATCGAGTCAGTCCACAAGAGAAGCTCCTAGCATCTTCAGAACATTTGGCAGAGCTGGTGATCTGTGATGATGACTCGCTGAAAACTCAGACGACGGTTAGCATTTTTTAGCAATGAAGTATTTTTTTTAATTAATTTAATAAACATATAATGTATTTTTATCCCCAGGTGTACAGGTCTGTGAATCGCCAGGTTTACACATTTCACAGCACTCACCATAGCACATCCCCTCCCCAATGTCCATATCCCCACCACCCTCTCCCGTCCCCCCTCCCCCCAGCAACCCTCAGTCTGTTTTTTGAGATTGAGTCTTTTATGGTTTGTCTCCCTCCCAATCCCACCTTCTTTCATTTTTTCTTTTCCTACTCCTCAGCCCCCCCCCACATTGCATCTCCACTTCCTCATATCAGGGAGATCATATGATAGTTGTTCTTCTTCGATTGACTTATTTCGCTAAGCATAATACCCTCTAGTTCCATCCACATCGTCGCAAATGGCAAGATTTCATTTCTTTTGATGGCTGCACAGTATTCCATTGTATATATATACCACTTCTTCTTTATCCATTCATCTGTTGATGGACATCTAGGTTCTTTCCATAGTTTGGCTCTTGTGGACATTGCTGCTATAAACGTTCAGGTGCATGTGCGCCTTCGGAGCACCATGTTTGTATCTTTAGGATATAGATATATACCCAGTAGTGCAATTGCTGGGTCATAGGAATGAAGTATTTTTAAATTAAGTATATACATTGTTTTTGTGGACCTAAAGCTCTTGCACACCTTAATAGACTACAAAATGGTATAAATTGACACACACTGATCAAAGACCCAGGGCATGTTAGCTTTTCCATTCAAAGGGGTGTGAGACACACTTGCATTCTTACGTGCTTTTGATTTCTTTCGGTCATGCATTTGCCATGTACCCCCTATTAAATGATGGTGCTTCCACGTGGTTTGCTTGTCATGCTAGTCCTTTGGTTGGACTGGAGCCCTTCAGCGGTATCGCAAGGTCACACTTAGAGTTGCGCACCATGTCATCCTCATCCTTGTTTCCCAATGGTGTTCGTTTCGGGCCCTCATCTTCATTTCTGTGTGACAAAAACGGGACTTCTTCCTGTGATGTCTGTGGTACACTTGGCAGTTTTCCACATGCCCTGTGCTTATGGGAGGTAGCGTGGAAGGACTGATGGGAGGCCAGGAGGCTGCCTGGATTTAGAGATCGCTAGCTATACATGCATCGGTGCCCTTGCTCATTTCCTTTGCCTTTTCCCTGTTGCCGTCGGTCATTTGTGGCTCGACGGCCCATTTTGCATATGCTCTAATTTATAAGCTAGAATTAGGGAACACAGTCCTGGGTTTCAGGCTTCATACTACTTTCCATTTACATAATACTTACATAATGCTTTTTCATAAAATCTTCAGTTTTTCTGAAACAGCGAAAAAGGACCATCTATGGAATATTTGCTTAATGCAGGGACAGTGTGCTAGATTTTGTGTGTATTCTCCTGTTTTCACAGATACACACACACAGGTGATGTCCTTCCCAGTCCATTCATGGAAACCAACTCAGAGCAGTAGCCACCAACCCTAGGTCACACAGGCTTTCCAGTGGGAGGGCAGGGATGTGAAGCATATCGGTCTGACTGCAAACAGGCCCCCTGCTCACTTTCCTCCTCCTGCGTGGCCCCATCTCGAGGTGATGTCTTCCTTCCACAGGGTTGCTGGGAGGCTCAATGAGGTTGTATTACTGAAGTGTTTTACAAAGAACAGGCACACCTCATTGTAGAGCACTCCGCCTTACTGCATTTAGGGTTTGCCGGAAGCTTCAGTTTTTAAAAAGTGCAAAGTCAAGCAAGCCTTTCAGTGCCATTTTCCCAACAGCATTTGCTTGTTATCTATTTGTGTATCACATTTTGGTAATTCTCTTTCAGATTTTTCTTTATTATATTTATTATTATATTTATATATAATTTATTATATATAATTATATTATATGTTATATATAATAACATATTATATATATTATATTATATATTTATTATTATCGTTGTTATGGTGATGTGATGATGACTTGCGGAAAACTCAGATGATGGTTAGAATTTTTTTAGCAATGAGTATTTTTAAATTAAGTATATACATTGTTTTTGTAGACATAAAGCTCTTGCATACCTTAATAGACTACAGAAAAGTAAAAATGTAACTTCTGTGTGCACTGGAAAACCAAAAAAGTCGTTTGACTTGCTTTCTTGAGCTACTCCCTTCACTGCTGTCTGTGGTCTGGAACTGAGCCTGCAGTGTCACTGAGCTATGCCTTTACTACAAAGCACTATTTAAAAAAAAAAAAATTTAAGTACATATACATATGTGTTTGTATAGAATGTATACAAATACATATACTTGGTTGAGGAAACATTACAGAAGCAACCTTTCAAATCTTTAAATATTACACTCCTTTTCCATAAACAACTGGTTGGTCCCTAAAAATAGCTGTCAGATGACAGAGATGGACTGAGCAGGAATAGGAGCATCTTCAGGACTTCAGCCAAGGAAGTTTTTGCTTCCCTAACACATTGCTCCGTTCACTCACTCTAAGACCTTCCTACCTCTCTGTCGAAGTCTGGCCCAGCGCAGCCCCTCCGCATTAGTCCCAAGTTTCCATTCATCCAGGGCGGCTCACACGGGACCTACAGCAGAGTCCATCCGGGTTATGCTCTCCCACTGCAGGCTGTCAGCATGTGCTCCGTGCACTCTCCCAAACCCAGCAGGGAAATCAGTACCCTGTGATGGAGAAGTCTCCAGAAGTTCCTGACAGTGTTCAGTGAACATCATGGAACCCCGAGGCCTGTTCCCAGAACCGGGGTGGCGGGAACCCTGTCCATTTCACAGAAGCCTCTTCGACAGACAGAGGATCAGCCAGGCACACGGGCTTCATTTGTGGAGAGAATTAAGGGGAGTTTTGGGCTCGTAGAAAATCTCCAAACCATGAGGAATAAAGGATCTTCAAATACTAGAACAGCACTCAGTGTGGTGAGAAGTTTACAAAAGGAAAAAAGAGAGCTGGTGGGAGAAGCAGATTCCCCCTCTCCTTTTTCTCGAGGCTGCATCTTCAGTGAGTGGGGAGGGCAGAACAAGGGTCTCCCTGTGAAAGCCCCCCATTCCTTCTCTCACCGCAAGCCAGACACAAGGCTGGAGTCACACTTCTGCATCCTCATAAGCTGTAGGGTCAGCCCAGATGACCCAGGAATGAGATGGCAGCCCAGACTCAGGCACTGTAAAAAGCTCTAGCTCATGGAGGACAGGGGTAGAGCTGTCCTGAGACGTGACTGAATTTAGAAAGATGCCTGTACGAGATCTTAAAAATCAAAAATTAGATGGATGTCCTAAGCAGTTAAAGGGGTAGGAAGCGTCTTTCTGAAGGGACGGATGCATCCTGTGTCTTGATCCCGGTGGTAGATGCAAGCGGTCCAGGGAGCCAGACTCATCAGCTGCACACTTGAAAAGGGTGAGTGACACCGTACACACAGGACACCGTCCTCAAGGGGATGATGAATACTAAGAAGCCCTCAGTGACTAACAAGTACAGTTTCTAAGTGAAGCTTGTTGTCACCATTCTTTAAGGAATACTTAAAAGAAATGACCTCACTCTTAATTTTGTCTGAAAGAAGAATTCAGCATTGTTTGAATATATTTAGGTGGGCAATTACAATGCCTGCTAGTCCATGACACCAGAGTTCAGTGTGGACATGCTCACTGGGGAGTGAGGAGTTAAGAGGAATGGATTTTGATATTTAACAGCCGTGACAGTTAAATCATAACCCTGCTTTCTTCCTTCTTTAGCCCTGGAATGAGACCAGATGTCAGCTCCCCTCCATCCAGCTCGTCTGCGGCCACGGGACCACCTCCCAAACTCTGCCTTGTGTGCTCTGACGAAGCCTCGGGGTGTCATTATGGGGTCTTGACTTGCGGAAGCTGCAAAGTATTCTTCAAAAGAGCAGTGGAAGGTAGTGTGTGTTTTGAAGAGTTTTATTTTTCCTCTATCGTGTTCTTGTCTCTCAAGGTGGATTTTGCAGTTTCTGTTATATGTGAACCCCATTCAGGCTGGACGTCAGGAGAGGCAGGTGGGGTGGGGGGTGGCTCTTAGGTCTTCCAGCGGGAAAGAGATTTTAAAAAGCAACACAAACAGAACTAGAATAAAATAGAACAGTATAAATTCAGGGGCGGGAGTTTGGTCAGAGAACAGAAGGTAAATGTGAGAAAGGGCTGTCATGTGAAATGGCGGTGTCAGGTTCCAGCGGTAACATCATGCTCATTGTATGAGAATCATAGGCTTTAACTCCCAGCAAGTAGTTGGTTCTAAAACGAGCAACTATTCCAGTATGACAAATGAGTGACAGTAAGAACTATGAGGGAGAAATTCTCTGGATGGGATTTTTTTTTTCTACTGAGCCACAAATCTTACTTCACATAAGAGCTGGTCCCTGTCCTCTGGGTGGTCATGGTCTACCTGAAGTGAAGGATGAGTGAACAGTTTCCAGGTACAGAGGTTAAAATACAGAGAAGCAAGTGATAAACTGCTTGAGGAGGTCAAGAAAGTAGGTATTTCAGAAGAGCTGATTTCACTATATTATATTAATATGAACTTTACCCTTGTTATGGATTCAGCCAACTGCCAAGGGCAATAACATCAGCTCCTTCAAGAAAGAGAAATTCATTCCCAGTGAGTTGTCTTGGGAAAAAATCATGTACTCTAGTTACCTGTAAAGCAGGTTGAAGGTAGTTGTGGCCTGAATGCATTACCTAAAGCTCTGATTATATTAATTGTTAAAGAAGTGTAATTATCTATCCACTCACAATATAAAAAGGATATTATTATTTGCCTAGAATTCTGTTTGCATAACCTTGAGAGTCAGATGAGTCATTTTCTTTTGTTTGGATTAGTTTGTAATACATGAGCCAACTATAAAATTACTCCCGTTACCCCACACAGAACACAGGGATGCAGGCTTTGCCCCCGTCAGGGGTTGCCTGGTCCTACGGAGGGGGTCACACGGAGCACTGAGTGAGCACTCCTGTTACAGTTACCCAGTACAGACCCAAGAGAGTGAAGCTTGTTCCTGTCACTGTACCTACTTCAGCACTTCGTTAAATTATGAGTTATTTCCATGATGTACGTGCAGTGATAGCAGTAATAATATTACAGTAGTATTGACTAGTTGATTTCTGAAAGTGAAATTCAGAATGAGACTATGGAACCTTAGAAGAAGAAAAAAATGGATATTTCAAAAAATATTTTAGTTAAAATGGAGGAGAATGAAAAATTCTTTAAAACAGGGCTATACATACATTGCTCATAGGGACCAAATATGTCTCATTCTGGCAAAGAGAAGGCAGGCAAGGAAAGCAGGCATTGATGTTAGAGAGGGCAAGCTTACCTAAAAGCTTCCAGTGCCCTTTAAAAAGTGTAAAAAACAGGGGCACCTGGGTGGCTCAGTGGGTTAATAAGCCTCTGCCTTTGGCTCAGGTCATGATCTCGGGGTCCTGGGATCGAGTCCCGCATCGGGCTCTCTGCTTGGCAGGGAGCCTGCTTTCTCCTCTCTCTCTCTATGATCTCTCTCTGTCAAATAAATAAATAAAATCTTTTTTTAAAAAAAAAGTATAAAAAAAAAACGAAAAAAGCACTAAACATATGTCCGCAGTAAAATACCACTGCAGGCCATATGCCCTCTGGGCTTCACCCCTGCTCTAAAATTCTTATACTTGCTTTTAGGTACAAATTTCATAGAATATTAGCTGTACCGTTTCAAAATGTATAGGTAGTGCTTAAGTCTGATGGCTCGATTACGTAATTAGTAGGCAAAGGTTTAACTGTGGACTCTGTTAAGTAAATCCTATTTGGATTTTCATTTTCCCGCATGTCCCTTCCAGTTCTAAAATTCTGTAATCTTTTGATAACTCTTAGCAGTTTTACTTTTTCTTCATAGAATTGATAGAAATGTTTTAAAGCCCAGATACATATTTTGGAGCACTTTCTTAGAGAATTACAGAGAGGAAGTAAGATCTGCAACATACTTGGCACTCCATTTTCCGCACCTGCTGGAAATAGCAGTTGCCTCGCCCTCAGAATGGCAGAATGTAAATACCCCCAAACATTCAGGTGTTTTTAAGAAACCTGCACAAGTTTAACTTACTTATTACTTATCTAAATCCTTAATCTAGGTTGAATGGCTATTTTGAAGTTTTTAACCCAGAATTCCGGGAGTCACTTTTCTGCATACGGAATAAAACTCCGGGTAGCTTCCCTTCTTTCTATGTGTGCTAGTTGAGTGATTACCGCCCCCCACCAAGTCCATTTGTCTTACGTCCCCTTTGCACAGAAGTACGTGTAAGCTTTGTCAGTGGGTCATAATGGCGATAGGCATTCACTACCCTCAGTGTACCATGAACCCAGCACTGTTTGTTTGTCACACCATTGAATTAAGGGCTCTGTGAGCTCCTAGAGGCCTCAGTGATCCTATTTGACAGTCCAGGAAAGTGAGGCTGAGAGTGGAAGCAGCAGCGCTGGTATCCTAGCACAATACCCTCCAAGCTACACTGACCCTCTGAGAGTTTATATAATCAGGTTAGATACAGAGATGAAAGCAGTCACAAGGGAGTGATTTCCCAGCTGGCATTGATTGAGTGCTCACAAGATGCTGTTTGTAAGAGCCTTCTCCACAACTGCCTTCAACCCTTGCAGAAGCCCAGCAAGATAGCTTTGCAGATAGGGAAATAGGGGCTCAGAAAATGTAATGAAGTTTACAGAGATCACAGAGCCGGGAAACACAGCTGCAGTTCAGATGAAGGGCTTCTCGGCCCTCGAGAGGGCACATTTTACCACACCACACAGTTTTTGAGAGCAGGTAAAGAAACAGACTCACGCTTACAGAGTTCACATTTAAGACCTGGATGTTTCAAACAGGGTAAACCAAGTGCAGACACCCCCAGAACATGCCCTTCTTCTCGGACCAGTTTTTTTTTTAAACTGAAAAAACAAGTAGTTTACTATCCTTACTGTGTTAGTGATCTACGGCTGTGTAACAAACGAGGCCAAAAAGTATTGGCTTCAAACAGCAGGCACTGACTGTCCTGCAGTTTGAGTCACAAATTTGGAAGGAGGTAAGTAGCAGGGCAGTTCTGGCCCCTCATAAAGTCATATTCAGACTGTAGGTTGGTGGTGCAGTCATCCAGCCTGGAGCCCGAGGACCCGTTTCCAAGCCTGTTAACGCTGCTTTTGACAGGGATCTTCAGTCCTTGGTGTGTGGCAGTTGGCTAGGGCTGCTCTCAGCAGAGCAGGTGGCCTCCCCCAGAACAACCGATCCATAGGAGAGAGCAGAATATGGAGGCAATCATGTCCTTAGGACTGGTTCTCAGATGTGACTTCCTGTGACTTTGGCCATATTTTATTGGTCACACAAGAGTGTGAACACAAGGAGGCAGAGACTGTTGGGGGCCATCTTGGGGGCTGGCTACCACACCAACCATAAATAGAAACCAGAATCACTTACCAAAACTAGGTATTAACCATAAAAGTAAATACAGTGCAAACAGAACAATGTTAAAAAAAAAAAATTCCAGCTGTCTTGAACTCTTTTCTCCTCACATCTCCTATCAGGCAGAAGAGGAATTTACAAAGTGGTAGAAGACATAGGAACTCCAAACTAAGATGACTCACTGTCTTATCAGATGGACTGACCAAGAGTGACAATTAGTGATGCATGCCCATGTCTTATAAAATAGTGCCCACTAGGTGAAACTCCTCCTTTTACAGCTAAAACACAGACAGATGTGCCCAGCTTCACACTAATGACCAAAAAGGACTAATTTTAACTTTTGTAGGCACAGGGTCCCTGTGATCAAATAGCTCAGATTCTGTAGGACAGTGATAAGGGGAGATGCTTATGGGGTGGAACCTTATATTTTAACTGCCCCAACCATGGATGCATCCGTTGTTCCTCCTTTTGCTTTAAAGAGGTTAGGATTGCTGGATTAGTGCTTCCATTTCATGTCACCCAGAGAAGCCATATAACGTACATGACATGGAAAGGAATGGAAACAGCCGGTACAGACGTTTGGCCTTGGAAGGCAGCTCTGGAACAAAGCTCAACTATACGCCACTGGTCACCTTGGTGGCCTACTCCTCACACAAGTGGGAACCGTGTCCCCAAAACACATGCTTAATAGCGTTGTGAGTTATCCTGTTCTAAAGATGTGAACAGACTATGTTTCCATCCAAGTCTTAGACTGCCCTATGAAGGAAGGATCCTTACCCAGAAACCTGAATGAGGTATAGCCACCCTAGTGAGTTGATAATGGTAATTTTTCTCTTTCCTCTGAAGGTGATTTCTTCTTGAGAAATGTCCAGTAGTCCTCTGAATCCCATCCCCTCTAGGGTGAAGTTCGCGGACTCTCAGTTGTCCAGGGTTCATGTAGCTGCACGGGTCTTGTGCAGGATGCTCCTTTCAGAGCTTCTGGCAGGCCTGCAGATCCTCAGAGTTTCCTTCAACATTCCATAACCAGATTAAAAGAAAACTAGAAGAATGTGCACAGTACAGTGTACAAGGGTACAGAGACTGTCTTTTCCTGGCATTTTATTTGCCAGGTGAAAAATGTACTTCTGCCTCTTAGCACATTATTAAATTCTAGGTGCTGGAAGATTTTAGACAGCAACAGTTGTAAATATTTGGGGCAGTGGTCAATTCAAACATTCTCACACTATACAAAGCATGTGAACGAATGAACAGGTATCCATGAGATCCATATACTAGTTAGCTGGTCAGCGGTGAGATTTCCCTAACTAGTTGCTGGCAGCTTCCCCTTCGAGAAAGGAGTGTGGCTCTAGTCACAGAGCTGAAGGGCGAGCACACTGGCTTTGCACATGGTGGCCTAATGCTGCATGAGAGTCATTTTCCATGTGCGACTCAGAGTATATGGAAAGCAGTTTCCTCTTTAATCCTCCTTAGCATTAAGTGAGAAGTCATAATGGAGTGCTCACAGACATCCTCCATGGCTGTTAAACTGTGCTTGAGAAGGTTTCCGCTTGTATGTGGAACAAGGTGGCCTTGGAGGGCAGTGCCTGGGAAGGGCCAAGAGGGCGGTGGGTGGCCAAGTGTTCTGCTTCTCCATCATGGAGGTGTTCAGTTTGGGAAAATATATCGGAGGCTACCCTGAGCATTGGTGCCCTTTTCTCTACGTATATGCTGCAGTATCTTTCATGAACTACAATTATTTGTTGGACAGAATAAGGAGGAGACTTTTTTAAGCTGAACTCACAGCTCTGTAAGGTCCGTGTAAGTGAGGACACTGTACTTTTCTTAATCACTGCCTGGGTCCTAGGCTGTGTTCCACCTAAAAGGGAAATGCAGCAAGTCCCTCTGTAAAAATACCTTTTAAAACCTGGGAAATTTTGACAGCACCTTTGTTTTCCCTCTAGGACAGCACAACTATCTTTGTGCTGGAAGAAATGATTGTATCATTGATAAGATTCGAAGAAAAAACTGTCCAGCATGCCGCTATCGAAAATGTCTTCAGGCTGGAATGAACTTGGAAGGTAATGTAAATGCCTGAAAGGAATGGCCTCTGCATGCATATAAAAAATGTATTATTTTCCTTTTTAAAATAGAAGCAAAAGTAATAATTTAGTCATTACAATATATGTGCTTGACTAGCATAACTTTATATGACTGCTTTATAAACTAGGAGTTTTTTAATGAGTATTTCATATTATGCGTAAGTTTTTTCACCAGTTCTTATGGCACACACAGCCTTCATTAGAGGCAGATCGTATAATAAGAAAGTCAACTAGGTAACAATGAGTTCACAACAAGCTTTTCCTCCTCCCTTTCTGCAGCCTCAAAAGTCTTCCCTAGAGTTGAAAACGTTCCTCTGTCGGTTGTATTTACCTGTCCATTTTCCTCTCATTCACCTTGTACTTGGCTCTATAGCTGGAGAGATGCATGCAGATGGATGATAAATCTGCCCGGGGAAGTAACTCCTCAAGGAGGTGCTGGGATAGGTTTGGGTTTGCTTTCCGTGTAGAGAAGAAGCCTGAAAGTAGTTAGGACTCTTGAGTTTCATATCCCTGTTTCTATAACAAGTTGTATAATTAACATTGCTATGAAAGGAGTTTGGAATTCTGCTCTAGTTGAGAATGCGAGGTCCAGGATGATAGCAGTGGTGCTGAAGGGACTCACAGCCTTTGTACTTGGGGTAGTAGCACTTTCCTTCTCCAGAAGCCCCAAGGAGGCAGGCCAGGGATGGGCACTGAGTCGACAGTGCCTGCAGGGAAGGAGGATATGGTCTACCGGGGTTGCAGAGTCTGTCCCCGAAAGGCATGGCACACTGCAGAAGGGGTCAGAGCCCCAGGATCACAAGGAGGGGCACCTTATTCTGTCCTGGAAAGCTGGGAAGGCTCCCTTGGCAGAAGCAACATTGAGTTTGAAATCTAAGAGAACTGAAGAGGAGTTAGGTAAAAATGACTAAGTAAAGGCAGAGACATCATCAGATTTAAACTGTAGAAAGATTCGTCTTGCCTAGAGAGACTGGCAGGACAACCCTAGAGGTCCTCCAGACCTCAGTATCAGAAGTGGTAGATTTTGATGCTGTTGCCCCCATACCAAGTAATTCTCCAGATTTATTTTACGGCAGCCTTTCTCAATGTTTCACATGCCTGGCAACTAAGTACAGGTATGTTTTAAGGGTAATCCTCAATGTTTTACTTCATTTTAGGGTGTAGTGTAATCTTTTCCAAATTACAGCTTTATTTTTGCTATAAAGAGTCACGTGGAACTTAAATGTAGGGAGGTTTTTTACATGATCAGATTTCATACCTAATTTTTTTTTAAGATTTTATTTATTTATTTGACACAGAGAGACACAGCAAGAGAGGGAACACAAGCAGGGGCAGTGGGAGAGGGAGAAGCAGGCTTCCCACTGAGCAGGGAGCCCGATGCAGGGCTTGATCCCAGAACCCTGGGATCATGGCCTGAGCTGAAGGCAGATGCCTAATGACTGAGCCACCCAGGCACCACATACCTAATATTTTTAAGCTAAGTTTTGAAACTAGTAAGATTTCTTTTTATTAAGAATGGAAGGGAACTATCATAAACTCAACACCTCTATAGAAATCAGATGCTGACAATCTCTACGCTCCAAGGAGTCAGGAACTTGATATCAAGTAAAAATCTTAGTCAAGTGCTTAAAAATAGTGATTGCTGGGGCTCCTGGGCGGCACAGATGGTTAATCATCTGCCTTCAGCTCAGGTCATGAGGATCCTGGGATCAAGCCCCGCATTGAGCTCCCTCTCCCTCTACTGCTCCCCTTGCCTGTGCTCTCTCACTTTCTCTGTCAAATAAATAAATAAAATCTTAAAAACAAACAAACAAAAAAATTGGTTTCTCAACTAATTCAGTTAACTTCTTAAGTTCTGTGAAAACGTATTAGTACACATTCTGACTCTAGTAAGTATTTTGAGCTTAGGGCTGAAGATAAATTGTGTAAGAAATTAATTCTATACTAAATACAGATTTTTGAAAATCCACTGGCCTGTCACTATCCTTTCCCCTGTTCTCATGTGGAATATAAGTGTTAAGTTACGGTGAACGGAGGTCTTTATAGTACTGTTTCAGGGCATTGATTTGCGACATGCCTGTTCTTTTACCTTCTCAACAAAACACTTGCCATGATTTTGAAATGTACCTTTAGTGTTCAAAATGCTGCCTGATGTTAGGTGTAGCAGCACCTCCTATCTTAAAGTTGATCACTCCTATCTCCCACTGTGCTGTCTACCTTCGGAATACTCTAAAGCCATATTCTGCCACCACTGGAGGTGATGATAGGGCTGTAACACTTAATGGGAGCCACCAACTGTCCTGAGCCTTGTACATATTTTAGTTGATTTAATTCTCAGCCACCCTCTGAGTGAAGTACCCGTATTACCTTCACTGGACAGAAGAGGGAAATTAAGGCCCAGGCAATAACTAGGGGATCCCACCAATTGCAGGACAGAGCCAGGATTTAAATTCAGACATGTTGGCTTCAGAGTTATGCTCATTACTACCACACCATACTGTGTTTTCAGTAGAGCATGATAAAATAAAAATAGCTCTGTCATGATCCTTTTTTGTGTTTTGAAATGTTACATGAGAATTCTTCACTATCTCACTATCCTATTCAACAGAGTACAAAATAATGGGACCATTCTGTCATTTTAAGGACAAAGACTCTAAAAATTATTTTCAAAAGTGATGAGTATTTACTTTTGTCCTACCAAAATGGGTTGTATCCCTGATAAGTGATGTGGATACATTTCTTCTTTCCTATAAATTCTGTTCATTGGCCTTCCTTGGACCTCTGAGCGCTTATTTAAAAGTTCTCTGTGTTGCCTTCAGCATCATATGGAGTTAAAAAGAAACATTCTCATTTGTAACTTTAAGAGTATGAATCTGTATTGCAATTTGATTATGCCGTTCCATACTAAGAGTTAGAAGACAGCTTTACTTTGTACGTAATATGAAAAAGGATGCTTTAGGTTTATGGAATCATTAATATAAATCTCTTAGAAAACAGAAATTTCCCACTAATAATTTATGAAGGAATATAAAGTTTTTCTTTATCTCCCCAAATGTTTCTAGACCCAAGTACTATCCCTCATGTAAACATAAAAACTGGACATTTCTGCTGTTGAAGTTGCTGCTTCGGGCATGGGCTCTGCTGTATTATTGTAATACTTCCTTGAGAAGAAGGGGACTCTGTGCAAGGTTATCAGTAGTATAGCTCTCTTCCTTATTACCTTAGGTAGGTTAAGCCTAAGCCCCAGTTTCTAGTCTGCTATTACAAGCTTGGATTCTTTCTTTCAAATGCTAGTGAAAGTACTGCTTTTTTAAACCAGTGAAAATTCCAACTTTGGAGGGAAAGTGAGACAGAAATTAATTCTTGCAAGAATCTCTAGCAGTGCTTTGTTTACATTGCTTTAATGTAATATTGGAAGACACTTAATTTTATATAAAGGATAATCAATGAAGAATTACCTGGATTTATATACACATGGCTCCTCTTGACTCTTTGCCTTCTCTTCTTCTCTGTCACTTTATCATTGCTAAATAGTTTCAGAAATTAAAATACTTCCTGAAGAAACTCTGCCACCCAGACCTTCTGATTAGAACTCACTTGTGTGTGTGTGTGTGTGTGTGTGTGTGTGTATATATATTTTTTTTTTTTAAACACCCACAGCTCGAAAAACAAAGAAAAAGATAAAAGGAATTCAGCAGGCCACTCCAGGAGCATCACAAGAAACTTCGGAAAATCCTGCAAACAAAACAATAGTTCCTGCAACATTACCACAGCTCACCCCTACCCTGGTGTCCCTGCTAGAGGTCATTGAACCTGAGGTGTTATACGCAGGATATGACAGCTCTATGCCAGATACAACATGGCGGATCATGACCACACTCAACATGTTAGGTGGGCGGCAAGTGATTGCAGCAGTGAAATGGGCCAAGGCGATACCAGGTAAGAGGCGGAAGGGGACTCATCAAAGGTACAGAACTGTGTCTTGTCCTCAGCAGAGGCACTCTGGCTCTGTCCTCCGAGTCGCATGACCTGCCCTGTTTTTTCCTCCTTAGTTCTGGGGCCCGACCGGGGCAGAGCCCAGAAAGCATGGGAGTGGAGAGTTTATAATAAAATGTGAACGTTGCTCCCTGCTTTTCAGATTGTTGCTCAGAGTGGAGTGATTTGAGGTTGGACAAGGTCCTGTCAGAAATAGAGTCTCGGGACTTACTTAAGAATTCCTTTTATACCCAAATCTAGGGCAGGAGCACACGTAGATACTTCTCAGAACCCCCATTTGTTTTCCTTCGGTGTATCACTTTTAAAACTCGGGGTAAAACTGGCAAAAATCAGGTATGGTGACACTCTGTCAGGAGGTACTAACCTCGTAATTAGATAAAGTGATACAGGTTGAACTAAATCTGAACTAATCTTATTTTTAAGATCATATGAAATTGAAGTCCCCCTGTTGGAACTTGATGTGGAACAGCAGGGGTCCACGTCATTATCAGCCCAGACTTGATGGCTGCAGGAGCTTTAACAAGCTTATGTTCATTTTGATAGAAGAGACAGAGCAAGAATGAAGTACTCTGACCTCCTATCATCCTACTCTGTCAAGAGGGAAAGAGGTGTAACTCTCAGGGGACATTTTTGAAACTAAATTCATTAACTGAGTAATGTACCAAGTCAGGACTCTATTTGCTTAAATAGGGGGAATGTGACAGTAAGTTTTATTACATTACATGCTATTAAAAAGTATTTGCGGGTGCTTGGATCTGAATTTATCAGATGACAGAGGAGACCTATGCCCCTCAGTGCTTCACTTCCTCTGTCAGGGGTCCCCCCCAAACAAGGCTAAAGCCCTATCTGGTCTGTGGTAGTTTCCAGAGAGCTGATATTCTCTTTGGAGACTAAGTGTTTCCTCATCCCTTTACTTCTCTTAATTCAGGATTCAGGAACTTACACCTGGATGACCAAATGACCCTACTGCAGTATTCATGGATGTTCCTCATGGCATTTGCCCTTGGCTGGAGATCATATAGACAATCAAGTGGAAACGTGCTGTGTTTTGCTCCTGATCTGATTATTAATGAGTAAGTTGTCATTTTCCGTGTGTTTTTAACCAGCTGACGGATGTGGTCATTCAGGACTTAATCAATTCTGTCAGGGCTCCTGAAGCTGGACAAGCTTGAAATAGTTGTTTGTCAATGTTTAATGGCAGGCCAGGTGGACATGGGGCATTATTATGTACTGTCCCAGGACAGATTGAAGGGTATTTTTTTTTTAAGATTTATTTACCCATTTTAGAGGTTAGTGAGCAAGGGGAGGGTCAGGAAGAGGGGGAGAGAGCATCTCAAGCAGACTCCCTGCCTAGCGCAGAGCCCACCACAGGACTCCATCCAAGGACCCTGGGATCATGAGAGATAATGACCTGAGCCAATATCAAGAGTCAGATGCTTAACATACTGAGCCACCAGCTACCCCTGGAGGGTACTTTTTAATAGAGTTGGGGTCAACTGTGGGGTCAGTTGATACTACCTTGAATAGGAACAACTACAGATGAGGATATCTTGGCTGACAAGATAGGAGGGACAGACACAGAGACAAAAGGATCCTCATTGCATGGCAAGCCCTACTCAGTGTTTATGACTTGGACGGTTTTTTTAATTGGGAGAGAACCAATCAAATTTCCAGGTTTTATAAATGAGCTCTTCTTGTGTCTGCGCAGCCTCTGCTTCCATCTGTGAAGTATTTGAGGCATCCCTTCCCCTGACCTCACTGCAGTTGTTTCCTGACTAGTTTTCTGCCTCCAATGTGTCCTCCATCATGCTGAAAATTTTTTTCTTCCAAAAATACAGTTTGATCCCATCACATACCTCCCCAACACACAGATGTCCTTGCTGTCTCCGCCCTGCTCATGGGTGCATATTCAGCATGGGTTCTGGCTTCCCAGAACCTGGCCTCTTTTTCTCCCTCACTGTTCTCTTTCATGGATGCAGCATTCCCACTCAGATGATCTGTTCGTCAAGCCTCTCAACTCAGCACCTTAAAAGACCTCTCTGCTTTATATTCCTAGCTCTTATCAGGTTTCTTATTTTCTGTGCCTACAACTTACCTCCTTTATGAGAATGAAACCAAGGAGTTCTCACCCTCTCACACACATACCCATGGTCAGAGCAGAGTAAGAAATGAAGATTTAATTGTGAGCACCAGGGTGCTTTTGACCAGAGGTCCAAAGAATCAATGAAACCTTAAATCCCGTTATTAGAATAGTCCCACTGCAGCCTATTTGAGTCCGTCCATTCTGAACAGTTTGTGTTTAGAACTGGATGCGCTATTGAAATTAGGAGTGACAGGGGTGCCTGGGTGGCTCAGTGGGTTAAAGCCTCTGCCTTCGGCTCAGGTCATGATCCCAGGGTCCTGGGATCGAGCCCCGCATCGGACTCTCTGCTCAGCAGGGAGCCTGCTTCCTTTCCTCTCTCTGCCTGTCAAATAAATAAATAAAATCTTTAAAAAGAAAAAATTAGGAGTGACAACCTTAATAACGTCCAGAATGGCAAAGAGTATGGAAATTTATATCAGTCAACAAACAGGGGATGTTTGGAGGAAAGAGAAAGGCATAGTAGGGAACAAGGAGGACAGCCTACAGAGATACTCTTTTGAGTGTGCTAGGCCCCAAAACAATGGGTAGAAGTTCTAGAAAAGCATCTGTTGGAACAGTGTTAAATGGAAGGGTCTGCCTTACCCTGTGGCAAGCTCACATTATTTTAGGTGTTTTAGTAGAGATTGGAGGATACTAGCTCCAGAGAGTTTTACAGACGTTCTTAGGCATTGTGAAAGAAGCTGCAAGTACTGGGGTAATTCTAGATTCAGAACACAGCTTTTTACTGCTACTAGGTCAGGCTAAGGCCACTTACCTGGCAGGATCGATACAAACTACCTACAGCAGAAATCTCACTGTTCTGCTGTCAGGCAAGCCAGCTGCCCTGGCTGAACTGAATCGCGAGTTAAAGGTGGTGTTCTTTCTCTGCTGGTGATACTTCTTTTCCAGCACAGTATTCTCTCATGTTCTCTCGGTGATACCTGAGTCCTTACCAAGTGCCAGACACTATTTTAGGAGCTTGCGCTGTAATGGTGAGCACAATAGATGAGGCCTCTGCTAACATTCCAAAGGGGAAATGGAATAAATAACCGAAATTATTTTGGAGAACCATGATTACGATAGTGTGACTAGGGGGAGTGTGGGAGAATGGGGCACAGGCTAGTTTAGATTTGGGGACCACAGAAGAACTCTCTAGGGACCTGAGAACCAAACAGTACAGAAGGACAAGCCGTGGGGAAGGTGGGAGGCTGCAGGCAGACGAAACCAGAGCAAAGGTACGAGCTGAGAGAAGTGGATCAAGCAGAAACTTGTAGGCCAGGAAACAGAATTGAGATTGTGTTCCAGGAGCAAGAAGCAGCCAGTGGAGGATTTCAAACAGGATACCACGATGGAGAATGCATTAGAGGGAACAGCACGTACTCCTCACATTCCTAGTAAGCCTGGTACAGAGTAGCAGGGATCGAGCCAGACAAGCTTCCTGGGCCATCTGGCTTACACTGGACCAGACAACGACCAGATTCAAAGGCTGTCATCAAACCTTGGTTTAAATGAGCAACTGGTAAGAAGTGTTTAGAATTTATTCCTGCAGAAATGAAGTAAGTAAAACGATGTATGGCATGTACAACAGAAAACTAATTTCTCCAGCGTAAACTTAGATCCTGTGGATCCAGGAACAAGTTTACTTTTCCAGTTATCACCTATAGGGAATTAGCATTAATAGCATAAGTTAGATTTTCCTTTGGAAGTTCATAGTTGTATAAAATAAAACAAGTGTACTTTTCGGGGGAGACTAACTCAAACGCTGGTGTTTTTCTTTCACAGGCAGAGAATGAGCCTCCCCTGCATGTATGAACAATGTAAACACATGCTGTTTGTTTCCTCCGAGTTACAGAGGCTACAGGTCTCTTACGAAGAGTATCTCTGTATGAAGACCTTACTGCTTCTCTCTTCAGGTTGGTAGAACACCTCTTTGCTTCTAAGTATGTTGAAAGTATGAAATAGAAACGTGTAGACGCAAAGGTGTGTTTGTATACATAGCACCCAGTCTACCATTATTTCCTGCTAGTCAGATAACAGTTTTCATAAATGTCGAATTTTAAAGGCACAGCCAGTGATACCAAGATTAGTAAGACCGCTAGGCGCTGCGGCAAAACAGAAAAGTATGTCAGCTCCACCAGAGCTACCGTTCATCCAGAGTGATTCGGTAACACCACTAGGTCGAAAATTAGTTATACGAGGAATAGGACTGAGTCTAGGAAATAATGGGAGAAAAACAGGGCGTACAGAAGGTGTACTTAACGACTGTTAGAGGACTGGCTGATGCAGCGTTGCTGCTGCACTGGAGGCAGAAGTATTCATTCCATCTAAAAACAACAGCAAGCATTTATCGAACAATCTTCGAAGTTTAGATAAAGGGACTGGTTTATAAACTTGAGCGAGGCTAGTTGTGGCTGGCAGAGGCATTACTTAGTAAACCTAGAAAGTTTTTGAAAAAATACAAAGTCTCTTGTTAGTAAAACGATGGAATTTGCAACAACCAGTAAAAGAAAATGTGTGAACAGTTGATGTTATACACTTACAGGCTATTCCAGTAAAACTTAATGTATCAGGTTAGTGTTTATGAGATACAGACTTGATGACAATACTCCTTTATGTACAAATAAATTTGCAAGGTTTCAAAAAGTCTTTCCATGAGTAACTCTGGTTTCAAAGCTGCCAAATAATTGGAAGGGATGGATATCTATTTCAGCTTTTCCAAGACAGATGTATCACCAATGCTTTCCTAGTACCTTTGTTCTCCGAAAACCTAAAGGGAAAGATCATTGCTAGAGACTTTAAGGTTACCTAATGCAGCACACTTGTTAAAGGGAGCTTGACGTTATTTGAGTCAAACAGTTAAAATTCTGAACATCATCTCCAAGTACAGATCAGTGCCAAATATGATTATTTGTTTAAAAAAAAAGGGTGATTTATATTTTATACATACCACACTCACAGAACTATATGTACTTCTATCATTGCAGAGGATGGGAGAAAGTAAACCAAACTAATATGTATCACTGCTTCCTTTAAAAAAAGGCATGGCATCGACAGGGACTAAAATACAAAAATACATACCATAAGATAGAATCAGACTTCTAGTCTGACGGAATACTAGAATAGGTACCCTAACCTCCCACTAAAAAATGCTAGACTAACAGCAGGCAAGAATCCCAGGAGGTTATTAGCTGTATTTGGAAGGTATATTTCATAAGTTTAAAGACAGAGGACAAAGAACGGCTGAAAACTTTCCAGAATTGTTGAAAGACACCAACCCCCTGCCCTGTCCAGGCAGCTCAATGAATTTCACATAATATACAAGTAAAATCCAACTGACTGGAAAAAAAAAAAAAAAAGATCTTCAAAGGAGAAGCAATTTAATTACCATATAGCAGCAAAGAAAATGGAATGATTTTTTTTTTCATAAGCCTAAGGAAAAAAGTATTAGAAAATGAAGGTGGACTTCCAGCTTCAGCTCTGAGAGGTAAACAGCCTGGACACAGCCATTCCCATCCTGAACAAGAAGAAGGTGAAGTGAAAATCAGTAACTTGGATCTGTCTGAGAATTGAGGTCACCAGGCAAATGATCACATCAAATCTTGAGAGTCAGGCAAACATAGAGAAACACAGCCATGATCAGCTTATTGGGGACCGAGGCATCCAGAGCTGGGAAGTGGTGGAACACTCACAGTTATTAGGATGACTTGCTGGAGAGGGAGGACGAGCTTGAGAAAAACTAAGGGCATTGTTTTCCCACACTTTCTTGGGGTTTACCTGCAGAAGGCACATGAGGTTCTCACCATGAAGATCAGAGAAAGAGCCCCCTGTTTTTGCCCTCCGAGGGAAACTGCTATAAGAGAGCTTTATCTAATCTGAAGGAAAGGGCAGAAAGATCAGTGCAGCCCCCTCTCCCTTCCTGTCTCCTGTAAGGGAAGCAGGAGTGTAAGGTGGGAGAGGAGATTCAGAAACTCTCCTGAAGGTCATGCCAACACAGATGTCATCCTAAAAGGATAGGATACCCAACACCTAACTACACTGTCAGTAGGGCACCAGGATAGTAACTGGATTACAGCTGCAGAACACAGCCCTTTGAGAAGGAGTACTCAGGGAAACCCAAAAACAACAGGGGAAAAGCAATAAAAACAGGAAAATAGGTTTCAGTTTCTGTTAAACACCTCTATGACTAACATGAAATATAGCCCAGCTCCTAGCCAGAGTAACACAAAAGCTCACACTAAAAGTGTTATTACGTCTGCTCTGACCTAACACTATCCAGGTTTGAGGGGGGAATAAAAAAGGTATGCAAGCTAAAAGGCACCAAGAAACAGTCTGAAGAGACACGCAAGCATCGGACCCAGCTCAGCTATGACACAGATGTTATAAATATCAGATAGGGAGTTTAACAAATCCATGATTACTGTGTTAAGGGCTCTAGTGGAAAAAGTGAACAACATGCAAAAACACAACAGGTAACGTGAGCAGAGAGGTGGAAACTCTAAGAAAGTGCTAGAGACTAGAAATACTGTAATGGAAATGAAGAATGCTCATCAGTAGACCGGATGTGGCAGAATTGCAAACTCAGATGCAAAGAGAAGGATAAAAACAACACGGAATGGAGAATTCAAGAGCTGGGATGGGGGGAGGGCCATTACACAACGTGTCACATACAAGTAATGGGGACATAAGAAGTAAAAGAAAGGAATGGAAGAAATACGTGAATAATGGCTGAGAATTTTCCAAAATAACAGATGCCAAAACATAGACCCAGGAAGCTTTAAAAACTCCAAGAAATGTACAAATTGCAGAAAACCAAAGACAAAGAAGGAATCTTGAAAAAAGCCAGAGTGGGAAAAAAACAGCTTACCCATAGTGGGACAAGGATAAAAATGACATCAGAATTCGCATCAGCATCTATGCACACAGGAGAGGAGCAGAGTGAAATATTTAGTGTTAAAAAAAAACCCTATAATTATGTATACAGTAAAATTATCCTTCAAAAGTGAGGGTGAAATAATGAGTCTCAGAAACAGAGAATTAGTCACTAGAAGATCTGCCCTGCAAAAAATGTTTAAGGAACTTCTTCAGAAGAAATGAAAATTGTTGCTGTTCAGAAACATGGATCTACAGAAAGGAAAGCATGAGAGGAGGAAACGATGACGGTTTATTTTTCTTCTGACGTGATCTGATGCTCAGCTGTGGAAGTAATTATAGCAACAGTGCACAAGACGATCATAACATGCGGATGAAGGAAATGTCCAACAGGAGAGAGGACCCGTGCATACTGTTGACAGGTACCTGCAGTACAGATCAGGTAGAGTGGTCTTATTTAAAGGAGCTGTAGATCAGTTGTCTTTGTATATGGAGAACTCTAGGGCAAGCCCTGAACACAGATTTAAAAATAAGTAATAACTGATAGACTGAGAGGAGAGAATCTAGAATCATACTAAATGCTCAGCAAAAACCAGAGAAGGTAAGAAAGAAGCAAGGATTACAAAAGAAAGAACCAGGGCAATGAGTAGAAAACAGTTTTAAAAGGGTAGCTCTTAACCCAAATAGATCAATAGTCTGACATGTGAATAGTCCTAATGAGCCAGTCATCTTTTTTTTTTTTTTTTTTAATGAAGTTTAAAGGAAAGTTTGCCACCACGGATCCTCAATAAAGTAAGATTAAAGGGTATGCATAGACTAAGGGAAAGGAATCCCATCTCTAAGAAGGAAAAAAGAACAGAGTATAGTAAATACATAGATATGTTTAATATTTATTGTATAAAACAACAGAAGTAGTGTCTTGGAGGATCTACAAAACAGAACTTAAATACGTAAGACCTACACAAGAAGGGTAGTGTGATAAGAATGCATGTTTAAATTTCAGGGGCACCTGGGTGGCTCACCTGGTTAAGTGTCTACCTTGGGCTCACTCAGATCATGATGGGATGGAGCCCAGCGTCAGACTCCCTGCTTAGCGGAAGCCTGCTTCTCCCTCTACCTGCAGCTCCCCCTGCTTGTGCTCACACACTCTCTAATAAAATCTTTTTTAAAAAATTTTTCACTGATGATGGCTAAAGATAGGAAGAGTACACAAAGTACCAAGCCACCAAGTTGGGAGTTGGCAGCTGAGACAAACAGGGTAAGGAAAAGCAACCCAAACAAATGAAATGAGGGGGACGAGCATAAACAAATGCATAGTCAAGGATAGTAACAAATGGTGTACAAATAAATTTGTCAGCAATTACATTAAATAGAGAGGAGATAAAAGCCCCAAGGTAAAAGACCCACAAAAAAATTCAAGACTGTATTTCCAAAAAAAAAAAAAAAAATACAAACAACCCCAACTTTATGCTATTGACATGAGAGTATCTAAATAAAGCTACTGAATGACTGAAGTAAAAGGCCATACAGTAACCCAGTGATGGCAGCCTTGCACAATAGGGTGTGAAATGGTAAATGTTTTCAGTTTTATATACACTCTGTCATAGCTGCTCAACTCTGCTGCTTGCAGAATGAGCACAGTTGTCAACAACACAAAAAGAATAGGCATAGGTATGTCCCAACAGAACTTAGTTTACAAACACAGGCTGTTAGTGAGACTAGGTCACTGGTCATGGTGCTGAATACTGTTTTAAAGCTGTGGCAGCTACATTTATTATCAGCACAGTCTTTAAAGTGGGAAAAAAAAACAAACAGCTCTTTATTTAAAGATACTCTTTACATAAAGCATTCTACTTAGCAGGAAAGCAATTCTAAGTATATGGCTTAACCACATGAAGCAACAATTCATGGAGCTACAAGGATAATTAGGGGTAATTTGGGATAGATGAAATTCTTTTAAACGTTAGCAATGAAAAGGGCTTCTCCTGTCACTATTTTTTTTTCCTGTCACTATTTTTAAAATTCAGGTAACAAGCAGGAAAAAAATTATCGATAAACAATTAGTGAAAACATCATTGCTACTGTCTTAAATATTAAAACGTAATTAGGTTATCTGTAATATATTAACCCATTTTTAACATGGTAGGCCACTCTTGATTAAGTAGCCTTAGTTTTCACAGTAATACTGTCATCTTCATTAGTGTCAAGTATTGCTTCATAGAATCAGAACGTTTTCATATGTGCTTCTTGGCCTAACCCTAGTCAAAATCCAGAGAGAGTGATTACCACATTAACAAAATGAAAAGAAAAATCATATAATCACCTCAACAGATGCAGAAAAAGCATCTAATAAAATTCAACATCTATTTATGATAAAAACTTTCAACAAAATGAGTATAGAGGGAACCTACCTCAGCATAATACAGGCCATATATGACTAACATATATAGCTAACATCATACTCAGTGGTGAAAAGCTGAAAGCTTTCCCTGTAAGATAAGGAATAAGACTAGGATATCTACTGTCATCACTTTTATTCAACACAGTATTAAGGTTCTAGCCAGAGCAATTACACAAAAAATAAAAGGCATTCAAATCTAAAAGGACTAAATGAAACTGTCTCAGCAGATTCTTAAAGACTCCACAAAAAGACGATTGGAATAAACAAATATAGTAAAGATACAGGATACAAAATCATATGCAAAAATCTATTGCAGTTCTATACACTAATAATGAACTACCAGAAAGAGAAATTAAGACTATAACTCCATTTACATTTGCATCAAAAATGATAAAATATCTAGGAATAAAATGTATCCAAGGATGTGAAAGAACTATACACTGAAAACTCTAAGACACTGATGAGAGAAATTAAACATGACAGAAATAAATGGAAAGATATTCCACATTCATGGATTGGAAGAATATGGTCAAAATGTCCGTATTTCCAAAAGCAATCTACAGATTCAACGCAGTCCCTCTTAAAATTCCAAGGACATTTTCCAAAGACTAACTCTAAATTCTGTATGTAACTATATAAATTAGACCCAGAATAGCCAAAGAAACCTAGAGAATGAAGAACAAAGCTAGAGGCATCGTATGTTCTGGCTTCAAACTATATTACAAAGTTGACGTCCTAAAAACAATACAGTGCCAGCATAAAAACAGACACACAGTTCAATGGGGAGATTAGACACCACAGACAAAACCCAGATGTAGACAGTCAATTAATTTACAACAAAGTAGCCAAGAGTGTACAACAGGGAAAGAACAGTCTCTTCAGTAAATGGTGCTGGGAAAAATGGACAGCCATATGCAAAAGACTGAAAGTGGACCATTACCTTATACCATACACAAAACTTAACCCAAAAATGAATCAAAGACTTGAATGTAAGACCTGAAATTATAAAAACTTGAAGAAAACAGAGGCAGTAAGCTCCTTAACATCAGTCTTGGCAATCACTTTTTTTTTTTTTTAAGATTTTATTTATTTATTGGGCAGACAGAGATCACAAGTAGGCAGAGAGAAAGAAGCAGGCTCCCTGCTGAGCAGAGAGCCCGATGCGGGGCTCGATCCCAGGACCCTGGGTTCATGACCTGAGCCGAAGGCAGAGACTTTAACCCACCGAGCCACCCAGGCAGCCTGGCAATCACTTTCTTAATCCAGCACCAAAAGCAAAGGCCAGAAAAGTTAAAAAAAACAACAACAACAAAAAAAAAAAACCAGCCTCGTACCACCTCTAACTATAAAGCTTCCTCACAGCAAAGAAAATGATCAACAAAATGAAAAGGCAGCCTACAATATGGGAGAAAATACTTGCAAATCCTGACTGGCCAACAGGCACATGAAAAGGTGCTCATCATTAATAGTGATTAACAGGGAAATGCAAATCAAAGCCACATCTCATCTCCCATCTATTAGAATGTCTGTTACCAAAAAGACAAGAAATAAGGGTTAACAGGGGTGTGGAGAAGAGGGAACTCTGCACACTGCTGGTAGGAATGCAAACTGGTGCAGCCACTGTGGAAAACAGTATAGATGTTCCTCAAGAAGTTAAAAATAGGACTACTACATGACCCCATAATTCCACTTCTGGGCATTTGCCCACAGAAAAAGAAAACACTAACTCAAAAAATGTATGTAGCCTCATATTCATGGCATAACTATTTACAATAACCAAGACACGGAAACAGCTGAAGTGACCATCTACGGATGAATGGATAAAGATGGGATATATACGGTATATACGGTGTCTATACATAGTCAACTGAGTATTACTCCACCACTGTCTTGCTACTCACGACAACACGGATGGACCTTGAGGGCATTAGGCTAAGTGAAGTAAGCCGTTCAGAGGAAGACAAGTATAAGTAAGTGTAGAATCCCACTTACACATGGACTCTAAAAACAAACACATGCTCGTTTGCACAGAGAACAGACTGGTGGTCTCCAGAGGAGGGTGGATTGGAAGGTGGGAGAAAGGGGATTAAAAAGGGCAGACTTCCAGGCGTAAAATAAGTAAGTCATGTGGATGTCATATGCAGCATGGTGATTGTAGTTATTAGTACTATATATTATATATGTGAAAGTTGCTGAGAGTGAATTTTAAACATTTTCATTGCAAGAAAAATTATGTTTAATATGGGGGGATGGGTGTTAACTATAAATGTATTATGACCATTTTGCAATATATACAAATATAAAAAAAAATTCAGTGAGAAAGGGTAGGAGACACAGCTCAGGCAGGTTATACTCAAATCCACAGGGAAGTAAGAATTAAAACTTCTTGCTCCTAAAGCCAGTGCTTTTCCTAAATTCCAGCATCTTCTAAGATGTCAGCAACAAGGAAGTAAAGTTTGGGAGACAACATGCTCCCCTCCCTAGAAAGTACCTGATTTGGGCTCTGACAAATCCTGAAAACCAGTAATCTGCCTAACTTTGTATTAGCCTTTAGCTTTGCTTACATATTGACCAAATCCTTTTTTCCTTAACCATTAACACAGAACCAGAGTTCTAGGAGCACACTTTGAAAAATTTGGCCATGTACAAAAGTCAGTCTTTGCAGGATTCACAGACAACATCATTAATCTTCTGTTCATAGTCCTTCTCACTAGTACAAGTTTTTGAAGAGTAATGTAAAACAACAGACTTGATACTAGATTTACAATCTAGAATCCATAAGGTGCTTTCTAAGTACATCAGGGAAGGCAGAATCATGCTCCCTGGCAAGGCATGACTCCAGGTAAAATACTCCAGTTTTCTATTATCCCCTAATCTCTCTTGCCTGTACTGTCCTGATCTTGTAAAATGCTTGTATTTTCATGGAATGTATTCAGAGTGTAAATACAATGTACTTCAGGAAGTGTAGTATTATAATAAATGCCCTACGGGCACACAGGCAGAGTTACCGTGAGAAAATACTTGACAACATCTTAACCTTTTAGTTCCTAAGGAAGGTTTGAAGAGCCAAGAGCTATTTGATGAAATTCGAATGACCTACATCAAAGAGCTAGGAAAAGCCATTGTGAAGAGGGAAGGGAACTCCAGCCAGAACTGGCAGCGCTTTTACCAACTGACAAAACTCTTGGACTCCATGCATGATGTAAGTGTCAGACCTAAGTCCCAATGTCCGGAACATTGTCTAGAATGCTGGGTTAATTATAATTACCTACGATCTGATTAATTGATTATATGTAATGATACATCAATAGTTTGTTTTGTTTTGATTTTTTTCCTGTTGGCAGATTTTGGTGATGGTTGGAGTTCACCTTGTCAGCCTCAGTTTGGCACATGTTTCTCCTAGGGGCAGTTATGAAATATCGTTTCATCTAGTCATGTGCATAGACTATCATGATGCCAGTATAGAATTTAATAGCAATGTCAATGTCAAATTCTCTGGTTTTATAGTACTAATCAATTAAATTAGCATATGTCCTTCATTTATTATTAGAGTTCACCGTGATGCACTGACGGCCGTGTAATTCTATATACAATTCTAAAGAATCCAAAATGTGCCTGGTACCCGAATGTCCACTTTATTTAACTAAACTTATTTATCTGGTGGATTCCAGCAAAGATTGGTATATTCTAGATCAAATGTATTTTCTGAATTAGCGGCCAAAAAGCACAAAATGTTCCTACTAGTAAGTTTTTAAGAATAATCGTTTGTATTTTTTTTTTCTCTTGCAGGTGGTTGAAAATCTCCTTAACTTTTGCTTCCAAACATTTTTGGATAAGAACATGAGTATTGAATTCCCAGAGATGTTGGCTGAAATCATCACCAATCAGATACCAAAATATTCAAGTGGAAATATCAAAAAACTTCTATTTCATCAAAAGTGACTGCCTTAACAAGAAAGGTTGCCTTAAAGAAAGTTGAATTTATAGCTTTTATTGTACAAACTATCAATTTGTCCTGTAGCGGTTTTGCTGTTTCATTTTTTTCCTTTTTTTGTCTGGTCTTTGTTTTCGTTTCGTTTTAAATACGCACTACATGTGGTTTATAGAGGGCCAAGGCTTGGCAACAGAAGCAGGTGAGCTATCGCTTGTAAGTGGTGGGAAGAGTAGAGAGTGATAGATAGTTGGTGGATCCCAGAAATTAGCTGCAGTCATGGGGGGTGATCTCCACTGTCAGGTAAGGATGGCACCTAAACCGCCAGTGCCCGAAGTCTGTGTGACAAACTTTCTGCTCATACTTTTCACAGTTGGCTGGACAAAATTTTCTAGACTTTTTGTTGGTGTATTTTCCCCTGTATAGTTAGGATAGCATTTTTTGATTTATGCATGGAAACCTGAAAAAAAGTTTACAAGTGTATATCAGAAAAGGGAAGTCGTGCCTTTTATAGCTATTACTGTCTGGTTTTAACAATTTCCTTTATATTCAGTGAACTACGCTTGCTCATTTTTTCTTACATAATTTTTATATTCAAGTTATTGTACAGCTGTTTAAGATGGGCAGCTAGTTCATAGCTTTCCTAAACAAACTCTAAACATTAATTTTCTGTGTGAAAATGGGTTGGTGCTTCTAACCTGATGGCACTTAGCTATCAGAAGACCACAAAAAGTGACTCATATCTCCAGTATTCTTGTCAAAAAAGCTCGTATTTTGTATATATCTGCTTCAGTGGAGAATTCTCTAGGTTGTGCAAATTAACCGTCCTAACTGGAGGAGAGCGCCTAGTCCAGTGACCTGCCCGGTAAAATGATGGTTGCAAATGACTAATTTAAAAACAAAAAACCAAACAAACAAAAAACTACCAAGAGGCCCTGTTTGCACTTAATGCCCTATCTCTGCTATGGCTAGATGGCAAGATAGTCAGCCAACGATCGTTCAGGACCTTTTGTTGTAGTTTGTAGAAGTTCTTAAAAAAGTCAGGATTCCAGATAACCAGCTGAGACACAGCTGAGAGATTTGAATCAGACCAAGTATTTCCTCTCACTCAACCTGACCCCCCCCCCCAAATAAATCTCCAATTAGCAAGCGTAGCCAGATACCCATTTTCACATTCCCATCCATCACCAATTGGTCTCTCTTTCCTGGCAGTGCAGGAAAGCTCAGCTACTGATTTTTGTGATTTCGAACTGTCAGACTTCCATGTTTGTATGACTACACATGCCTCTTATCCCTCCATGTGCCATAGAGTTTAACAAAAGTCTTGTGAACTCCTCCTCACTGTTGAGAATGATCATTTTAAACAAAATAGAAGCTGTAGTAGCCCTTTCTGTGTGCACCTTACCAACTTTCTGTAAACTCAAAACTTGTATTTACTAAGCCACAAGAAATCTGATTTCTATTCAAGGTGGCCAAATTATTTGTGTAATAGAAAACTGAAAATCTAATATTAAAAATATGAAACTTCTAATATATTTTTATATTTAGTTATAGTTTCAGATATATATCATATTGGTATTCACTAATCTGGGAAGGGAAGGGCTACTGCAGCTTTACATGCAATTTATTAAAATGATTGTAAAATAGCTTGTATAGTGTAAAATAAGAATGATTTTTAGATGAGATTGTTTTATCAAGACATGTTATATATTTTTTGTAGAGGTCAAAGAAATGTTGATGGATAACCAATATGATTTATAGTTCGTGCAAGCATTCATACAGGCAGCAGTGGTCTCAGGAACGCCACAGGTTTGCTCTAGGGGAAGGGGGACATGGAGACCGGCCCCTGTGTGCCACGAAGGCTGCCGAGGCTCCGTCCCATTCAGATCACAGAGCATGTCATCCTCTGCCTCCCACAGTGGGCAACTGCCCTCCTCATTCCCACAGTCAATCTGTCCAGTCTGTCCACCCAGCTGTGTGGGTGGAGTCTCCCCTGGCTCAAGTGTGCAATTACGGGGGCGGGGGGGGGACAGAGAAGTGGTGCCCACCGGCCCACCCCCTCCCAGAGCTCCCTCATAGCAGGGCTACTTTCCCACAGAGCACAGAGCCCCTCCAGCAGTGAGGTCAACACAGGGGTTTCAGGACTTTGGCAATAAGATGCATAGAGGTACCAGCAGTCTGTAAATAGTGCAAAATCCCATAGGTTGCCAAACAATACACTAATTCCTTTCTATCCTGCTAGAGTTGATTTCCAAACAAATGAGTACATGTTTGTTTTCTTTGGATGCTTTTTTGAATGTTATTTGTTATTTTTCAGTATTTGGAGAAATTATTTAATAAAAAATGTAATCATTTGCTTTTTGAATGCTCTCTAAAAGGGAATGTTCCTTTTGTAATGGTTTAAATTGATCTCAAAGTATTTTAAGATGGTTTGTAACCCAGAAGGATGTGAAATTTTTGGTGCCTAAGAAATACCGCTTGGATACTATTATCAATGACAGTGTTAAGTTCCAAAAAGAGTTTCTGGAAGGTAAATTATTCTTCATTTATGGAATGGTAAATGGTTAAAACCAGAAAGCACATCACATGTTGCTCTTATTTTAGCCCCAACTTCAGTTCTCAAAAAAATAGAGCTCAGTGAAAAAAAGAGACGTGTACTTGGTCAAAAGAAAATCAGCTGACATTTGTAAAACTAGGAGGCTGTATCCTACATGGAAAAGAAGTTGTGCCCTTGTGAAATAAGTGGGAAAGAAGAAGGTTATCTTAGCTGTGTTTGAGTAGAGTTACAATTTAAGTGAGAAAAGATCCGGTGCTACTGGAAAGCAGCTTCATTTTCTATGTAGGTGGTGTCTTGCCATCCCAAACTAAGTTTGTAGCAACTTCAGGGAGACTTGGCAACATGCCAAGGTGACTTACAGCAAATCCTGAAAAGCATTTTTAATTATTGGTGGAAAAATGTGTCCTTCTCAGTGTTTTTAGGCCTTGCTGGGGGACACCATAGAAGTGCTTGTCTAAAACTCTGGCAGGGGAACCTGAAAGGGCATCTATCTTCTGGAGAAGGGGGGTAAAAAAGGACACCCTAAAAGGAATGCTAACACGACTTGTGTGTGAAGAGCTTGAAAGCGTCAGGTGAGCTCCGGGTGTGCGTGCAAAGGAAAGCCGACCTTCCCTTCAGAACTCCAGGGTGGGGGCGGGGGGGGGGGGATGTGCAGTTTTACCCACCTAAACCATCTCTTCTCCATTAGTCTTAGCTTAGTTTTGTGTTTAATACCATAAACGACATCACTGTGGAATGAACAGTAAAATTAGACTGTGGTCTGTCAAAACTCAAGAACCCCGGCAGCCCTCAGTGAGATTTCCAGGGTTGGCCGGTCGCCCTCAAGACTGTAGCTGTAAATGAATGTGTTTTCATGTGCCTGGTTTGAGAGTTGTATGGGAGAAGAGGAGTGTAAGGAGGACACTTTAACCACTTTGAATGGAAGTTGCATCATTTTCCAGACTGTGATCAGTCAACCTGGTCCACCAGGGATTAGTGACCAGGTTTTCAGGAAAGGATTAGCTTCTCTCTAGAAAATGCCTGAAAGAAGGATTTTATTTTCTGATGAAAAGCTGTATGAAAATACCCTCCTCAAATAACTTGCTTAACTACATATAGACTCAAGTGTGTCAATATTCTATTTTGTATATTAAACAAATGCTATATAATGGGGACAAATCTATATTATACTGTGTATGGCATTATTAAGAAGCTTTTTCATTATTTTTTATCACAGTAATTTTAAAAATGTGTAAAAATTAAAACCAGTGACTCCTGTTTAAAAATAAAAGTTGTAGTTTTTTATTCATGCTGAATAATAATCTGTAGTTTAAAAAAAATGTCTTTTTACCTACACAGTGAAATGTCAGACTGTAAAATCTTGTGTGGAAATGTTTAACTTTTATTTTTCATTTAAATTTGCTGTTCTGGTAATACCAAACCACACATTTGTATTGAACTGGCAGTAAATGTTAGTTAGCCATTTATAGCAATGCCAAATATGGAGAAACATCATAATAAAAAAAATCTGCTTTTTCATTATGTGACTCCAACATGCTTTTGTAGAACTCAGTGCAGTTCCAATTTTCCTACCTTTTTTTCTCCTTCTTCTATTGAAGGCAGAGTTATCACTTCAGGCAACTTTTAAGACACTGAAATGGACACTGACATGTCAATGGCTAAAGGGGCGGAAATCCCAAGTGAGCTTCACCCTGCCTCCAGAGACACCGACCATCCTGTCCACACCTCAGATAGTCCTATATCAATTCCTGCAAAGGGTTTGAAGGCAAGGAAGAACCCACTCCCGAGGTTCTCCTACTCTATCAGTCTTTATCATGAAAAGTGACATTTTATGTTAACAGATGTTTAGCCAAAATTCTTGCCTCAACTTAAATTCTTTCTCCCAGAGAAGAGCATACTTCGTACTTGCGGCAGCACAGAGGCACAGTATAAACCCTAAAGACAGAAGGTGCTCACGTGGTAAACCAGCTCTTCTATACAACCTCTTGAGTATTTCCCCAAAGTACCTCTGTGTTCAGGTTAGATCCATGGACTGGATGATATCACAGACAAACTTTCCTATGAATACTCTTCTCCACCACTGACTTCCTTTACCAAGAAAAAAGGCATTATGATTTAAAAACCAGATTTGCCTTAGTCATCGTAAGTATACCCAGCGTTTGCTACATACCTGGTTCACTAGGTGATAAATACTGAAGAAAGAGTAGATAGAGTAAAATACTATTTCAACCCTCAGTTAGAACACGTGATTGGAAAAGTGTGTCTAGCAAACCATCCCAGCACTTGGCGCTGCAGAGGCCCCAGTCCAGCAGCAGCGTGCGCACACGGCACTGCCTCAGTGTTCCCGGCAAGTAGCAGAGCTAAAGAACACCCTCACGCACATCACACCAGCGAGTCCTCACCCAGAGCACACATGAAATGAGAACACATGTGGAGGAAGATACTAACACTCCATTTATAAAAAAGGAAACGGGCTCAGAGTTTAGACAACTGGTTCAGAGCCGCTATAGTACGCTCATTTTACTGAGGTTTGAAGGGAAAGTCTCTATAATGAAGCCATGTATCCCACGTCTGAGAACATGCCTCTTGGCCACAAGCCTCCCAGGGAACTGATTTTGTTTTTCTGTTCTTAGATTAATGTTTTACATTTACTGAGCATTCACCCAAGTGCAGGGCATCATATTTCAATACATTATCTCATTTAACTTAGCAAAGCTACAAATCAGCAATGTGAAACGCTCCTCACAAGTGCTGTCAACTACCATGATTACCTGCATTGCGTTTATATAAGGAAATGGGGGCTTACAGAACTGAGTTCCTTGCCTAGGGTCACAAAGCTTTGAAATAGTTAAACAGAACCTTAAAAAAAACACAGAACAAAACAAAAAACACTGGGCATCTGGCTCCAGAGTTCATGTTCTTAAGCACTACTGAGAAATTATTAATATGAATCTCCTAACTAGATTAGAAGGACCCATACGGAGCATTCTGTGTCAGGCCTTGTGACATGATCTCGTTTTAATCTAATCCTTTCTGCTACCATGTCAATTTTGAGTTAGACATTGAACAATGATATTTCCTCCTCCTGAACACATGTGTCCCAGCCCCTGGGGATGTTGCTGGTCAAAACCAGTAACTGCCCAGAGATGATAATATACTTGACTTTGTCAAATATCCAAAAAGGAACCTGTCTCATCAACAGCCACAGGAAAATCAACCAACATTTCTTCAAGGGATGGGGTGGGGGCATATGGGTTACATTCACACTGAAGAACAAAGTTGCTTACAAAGGAAAACAGATGCAGGTCAACAGAAGAATCATGTATGCACACTGCAAATTAGCCATAAGCTTTTCTAGGATTCTTCAAGTGTCACTGTCTCAAGTCCTGTCTCCGTACACATGCGGCTGTGCCAGAAATAAG